AATCCCAATTTATTTCACAAAAGATTCTTTGTTTCTTCATTGAAAAAAGAATTGGACTTTAATTTTTTCATTTGCATTCTGACTCTCGCAGAGAATTTTAATCAATTTAATCAACTCATTCATAAATTTAAATTCAATTTTTCACTTCGGATTTTGACTTTTGGGAAATTCTAAATGGTTTTAGTAACGGTCATGATGATAAATGTAATTAGATACTGTTGGATGTTGATGATACTGTCATTCTAATTCCAATTTATTTCTCAAAAGATTTTTTTTCTTCATTAAATAAATTAGACTTTAATTTTGTTCGTTTGCGATCTGACTCTCGCAGAGCATTTTAATCAATTTAATCAACTCATTCATAAATTTAAATTCAATTTTTCACTTCGGATTTTGACTTTTGGAAAATTCTAAATGGTTTCAGTAGCGGTCATGTTGATAAATGTAATTAGATACTGTTGGATGTTGATGATACTGTCATTCTAATCCCAATTTATTTCTCAAAAGATTTTTTTTCTTCATTAAATAAATTAGACTTTAATTTTGTTCGTTTGCGATCTGACTCTCGCAGAGCATTTTAATCAATTTAATCAACTCATTCATAAATTTAAATTCAATTTTTCACTTCGGATTTTGACTTTTGGAAAATTCTAAATGGTTTCAGTAGCGGTCATGTTGATAAATGTAATTAGATACTGTTGGATGTTGATGATACTGTCATTCTAATCCCAATTTATTTCTCAAAAGATTTTTTTTCTTCATTAAATAAATTAGACTTTAATTTTGTTCACTTGCGATCTGACCCGCGCAGAGAATTAAAATCAATTTAATCAACTCATTCACAAATTTAAATACAATTTTTCGCTTCAGATTTTTCGGTGAATCCCAAACAGTCTTAGTACTAGATAAGTTGATAAATGTAATTAGATACTGTTGGATATTGATAAACCGTCATTCTAATCCCAATTTATTTGACAAAAGATTCTTTGTTTCTTCATTGAAAAAAGAATTGGACTTTAATTTTTTCATTTGCATTCTGACTCTCGCAGAGAATTTTAATCAATTTAATCAACTCATTCATAAATTTAAATTCAATTTTTCACTTCGGATTATGACTTTTGGAAAATTCTAAATGGTTTCAGTAGCGGTCATGTTGATAAATGTAATTAGATACTGTTGGGTGTTGATGATACTGTCATTCTAATCCCAATTTATTTCTCAAAAGATTTTTTTTCTTCATTAAATAAATTAGACTTCAATTTTTTTCACTTGCGATCTGACCCGCGCAGAGAATTAAAATCAATTTAATCAACTCATTCACAAATTTAAATACAATTTTTCGCTTCAGATTTTTCGGTGAATCCCAAACAGTCTTAGTACTAGATAANAAATAAATTAGACTTTAATTTTGTTCGTTTGCGATCTGACTCTCGCAGAGCATTTTAATCAATTTAATCAACTCATTCATAAATTTAAATTCAATTTTTCACTTCGGATTATGACTTTTGGAAAATTCAAAATGGTTTCAGTAGCGGTCATGTTGATAAATGTAATTAGATACTGTTGGGTGTTGATGATACTGTCATTCTAATCCCAATTTATTTCTCAAAAGATTTTTTTTCTTCATTAAATAAATTAGACTTCAATTTTTTTCACTTGCGATCTGACCCGCGCAGAGAATTAAAATCAATTTAATCAACTCATTCACAAATTTAAATACAATTTTTCGCTTCAGATTTTTCGGTGAATCCCAAACAGTCTTAGTACTAGATAAGTTGATAAATGTAATTAGATACTGTTGGATATTGATAAACCGTCATTCTAATCCCAATTTATTTGACAAAAGATTCTTTGTTTCTTCATAAAAAAAAAATAGACTTTATTTTTTTCATTTACATTTTAACCTTCGCGGAGAATTTAAATCAATTAAATCAATTCATTCATAAATTTAAATTCAATTTTTCGCTTCGGATTTTTACTTTTGAAGAATTCTAAAGAGCTTCAGTACTAGTCATGTTGATAAATGTAATTAGATATTGTTGGATATTGATGATACTGTCATTCTAGTTTCCATAGAAATTCCTTCAACAACTCCCAGTGTACCAAATGTACCGCATCGTGATACCCCAGTGTTCCTCTTCATCAGTGGATACGTGATGTGAAATTTCGGTCGTGGCATTAAACTTGTACTCTGGTACTGCCTTTTGTTCAGGATATTTCGCAATGTGACAAATGTACACACGAGTCACTGCTACTGTATATCCCTTCGTAACTGGTGTTGTCAATTCCTGGAAAATTCATTTGCGTTATTGAAACTTCCTCGATAATCAGTAACGGTGTCAGATGCACCGAGAAAAATGATTTATTTGAATCAAATGAAGTTTGTTTAGATAGTACTAAAGGAAGTTGTTTATCAAATTCAATAAAAAATTGTATTCGAAGTTTTGTGTATATTAAATAAATCTTCTTTTACTATCAATAAATCTTTATTTGATCCAAATAAATTCTTTATTTATGTCCAGGGATGGCCATCAATCTTCCTTCCTTTGCGGACGCGGAGCGTCCGTAAAACGCTAAAAAATAGTTGTTCGTCATACGGCCAAAGAACTTTTCTGACGAATATGATTGCAGCCCTCGCCTTCGGCTCGTGCTGCAAACCTCATATTCGCCAGAAAAGTTTTTTTCGCCCTAATGACGAAATATCCTATTTGGGTGACCGACAACGGTGGCCGAAGTGGTTAAATCGCTCGGCCGGATGGCGGACGAACCCGTGAGGCGCGGGTTCGAGTCCGGCTTGAACCAGGGATTTTTTAATCCTTCGGAAACCTTCGAACGGTAGTCGAGGCACCGAGAATCATCGGAGAAATGGTAGAAAAACATTCCTTGATATGCTCGGTCGATGGTCGTCCGTGTCGACCAAGGTTTTCCATGGTTTCCCTTGGTCACCAGGAGAGTCTGCTGGGGTACAATGCGACACGGTTGAAGAGGAAGTCGGCCCATGATAGACGCAAATTAGGGAACTTGTAAAAACCCAAGTAGGGTATACATGGCAAATAATAAATAAATAGACATTTTTATGGGTGTGGGATTCTCAACATGAAATGCACAATTATGCAACACCTAACGGGCAGAATGGGTTATAGATTGATGTTATGACGTGTGAAAAGGCAGAAATTATGTGTACATTCATCAACACTTCATCGAAAGTAGAGAGAGAAAAAAAAGCAATTGAATTTCATTATCACGAGTATCTCGAGAATAAATTATTCTCCGGGTTTTTTGCACGAGATCTTCATATTACGATATCAAAGGCATTCGCAGACAGTCCTCTCTGTATTCAACTCACTCAATGCCCACTTTTAATCATCACAAGGCTTCCTTCACACTTCATCCGATTTGGATTCAACTCTACAAACATTCAAACAATAACGAACTCAGGAAAACAGAATTTCTTTCTTTCCAATGCAACTTAGTTATTCTCACTCAAACAACTAATCGCATTGGTAGATAAAACGGGTAATAAAAATAGCAGATAATTATGGGAGTAGTAAAAACAGCCGTTAAACACGGATTGATTGCGACGACAGTTCACACTTGACACACTGTTGCCTATATTTTAAAACGATGAGAGTACGTATAGAAAATGATGAAAATAATGGATTAAAAATTTATGTAGAATGAATTTCAATGAAAACCAGGCAGGGTTGCGAGCCTATTCGGCAGAACAAAGCTTCCATTCGGCGGCAAAAATTATAGGAAAAATGTCTGACAGATTTATTTGTCTTGTCATATTTATGAATAAGACACAACCTAACGAGAATACATTCCGTCCCCCTGAAACCGTCTGGTACTATTCCCCAGAGTCTCCTTAGTTGGTACCCCTGAGCGAGAAAAAAAACTAGAAATAATAAAGAAGCTTCAGAGATCGGAAAGGCAAGAACAGAAGAGCAAAGCGGAGGTAAACAATTTGTATCTTGTAACTCAGAGCTATTCTCCTGGTTTCGATTTCGTGGAGCCTCGAATTAGTCCCTCGCGGTGTATTCATGTGCGACGTCTGTGACAACGACAGGTTAGACCCCGGGACATCCCCAGCGAGGATAAAAAGCCGTTTGTTAGGTTCTGCTATTTTGTCGTCTCACATCGCGTAGGTTGGATTGTGACATTGAGCATTTTGTGGGAGTCGTTAAAAATTGATTGCTCAGAGGGTATTTTTTATTCAGTCTAATGATTTTTATTTTTCCGTGTCGTATCGATTTGCTCAGCAGTGAGTTCTCTGGTTCTGCGATGAACCGCAGCCAATGCAGTAATAACAATAGAGAAATATTCTCGGAAAGAGGGTCAATACACGTGAGTACCATTGCTACTATAAATAAGCCGATTAGAGGCGCCTCAACGATTTCGTTAGCATTCAGGGATTACGCAATACAATTTTCCCTTCGGAATTCTGACAAACCCGGTGGTTTGGCGCTGAAGTTCGTCGCCTCACATGCGAAAGGTTCCGAGTTCAAATCCCGGCAGGGTAGAATGGTGCGATCTAACCATTTAAGGATGTTCGACACCCTTTTAGCCAAAATTGACGTTGTTTTCATTTTTCTGGCAAATTATCGATGGGAGTGACGTGAAAAAATATAACGATTTTGTGGTTTGTCATTCTTTAATGGCTCACGAAGTTGCGTAGTGGTGCGATAATTTTCATGCGTTTTTTCTACAGTTTTGTGATTCTTTTTAAAAGTTTAGAGAAAACGCAGGAAAATGTTCGCACCACCTTAAAATTTCGTCAGTCATTAAATAATGACAAAACGCAAAAACGTTATATTTTTTCACGTCAATTCCATCATAAGTTTGCCAGAAAAATTAAAAAAACGTGAATTTTGGCAGAAAGGGTGTAGAACATCCTTAAAGTCTTGATCATCATCGCGGATACCCTAATCGGGTCGAAGCGATGTAAAATAATGATTAAAAAAAAGGAATTCTGACAGGAAGATGAGTCTATACCTAAGTTTTCTCTCTTCCCCGCTCCCAAATTCACGTCACCGATGAACCCATTTAGAATCCATCTTTCCATTTTTTACAACCTTAACCCTAGATTGCGCACCCTATGAGGGAAACCCCGTCGCGCCTCGTTTTTCTTCAATTACAATGGACTGGCTAAACGGAAAAATTGAAAAAAAATTTGACTTTGTCAATTTAAGTAGCTAAAAAATTATAGTAATTTTTAAAACAAGATATTTCCCCAAATTCCCAAAGATAACAAATTATTTCGAACCGATGAATCATTTTTTCTCATGTTAAATGAAATTGCCCATGACGCGACGTTGCCGGAACCTCGCTAAACGCGCCCGGGCAGTGTTGAGTGAATTCGGCAACGCTAAAGCCTAAATAATACAGCGGCGAATCCCCGCGGAGGTGACCAAAATTGCAGGGATGCGTTTGGTGACCAGACTAGGGTTTTGCAGAACAAATCGTAGAATTTACGATTGCGGCTTACGTTTCGAAACGCAATTTTTACATTTTTTTCTGGTAATTTTCATTGAATCTTTCTCTCCGTGTACGGACGAGTTCTAAAAACTGCACACGGAAAGAAATTTTCGATAAAAATTAGATCTCCAGAGGGCGAAACGTGGGACGAAGGTTAGTTTAATCGCAAAAAGTAGACTCCCAAGTCTAATTTTTCCGACAAAACTTGACCTGAAAAGTGGTTTGACCCTCTGGAGGTCTAATTTTTATCGAAAATTTCATTCCATGCATTTTCCGATTTTTTTGATAATTCTGGGTCGATGTAACCCAAGAAATCCAATACTTAAATTTGGACGATTACAAAGTTTCTGTTCGGAACTAAGAATGGAAACGGAAATTTACCATTTATCCATCACCGCAAGTAATAGTGTAACCGTAATGCCCCATCCTCCCCCGAGGAGACGGATTAGAGCATTTTATGCGAGCATTTGAATGAAATATACACTGACAGGATGTTTAATAAATTCAGACAGTGCAATTTCATCGGGCATAGAACTGAATATTCCGGGATTGCTGCCAATTTGACACAGCAATGTTAATAAACCCGTAAAGTTAACCGCCTCATGCAACTATTGTGAATGAGACCTGCAATGATGTTGGTGGATAAAAACTAATATGTCAATTCCGCCTTCATGACATCCGTAAGTACTATATGATCGTCAATTAGATTAGTCCGCTGTGATAAGAGGATAAAGCGGAACCGATTGTTGGGACTCACTCGGAGATTACCGCCCGAGGGAAAGGGGATTAAAGAGGATTTCACGATGCGAGATTGATGAAAAAGTGTATTAAAAAATAATTGTCAATATCCATCGGTTTTATGGAATCCTCAAGGGGTAGTAATGGAGGGAAATTTCAGTGGGGATGGGGATAAACGAAATTTTTTAATCGACGGGAATGATTCTTCAGTGAATTTTCCAACGCTTTTGAATCATTAGAAGAATTGAACAAAAAGAAATAATGCGTTCTGTTAGATATGGGCAAAATGGGTTGTCCCATTAAATTGCCGGGAAAATTTCCATTTCCATCCACTCGCTATAGACTCATTTTGCCCCATAATAGGGTGAACAGACCAATAGCGGGACTCGGGGTAACACACGCACGAAAAAATTTAAGAGAAAAACCTTTCGAATTCGTTGGAAAATTCTATTGAATTTCTATTAAACTTTCAATTAGTTTTTGGCTGATTCTATTGACATGTTAAATTGAAAACATTCAATAGAAAAAGTCAACAGACTTCCATTTTTCTAAATAGATCACTCATTCTTTTCATATATTTTCTGTAGAATTTCCTCGACTCAAATTTTCTATGATTTTTTCATTCTATTTTTCTTTTCTTCTCATCAAAAAAATCAAATGAAAAAACTTGGAAAATTTGAGCCGAGGAAATTCTGTAGAAAATATCTCAATAGAATAAGTTTGATAGAAAAATTGAATTCTATTGACTTTTTCTACTGAATATTTTCTATTGAACATTTCAATAGAATCGGCCAAAATTTCAATTGGGAGATAAGTCGACTTGAATCGGTTTACCACTTCGCTACTGAATTATTCTTCTCTTCATTTTTTTCACTTCAAATTATTGTTTTTTCCTAATTCATATATTCTTTCAGGTCTAGAACTCAATTTTTCATTCATTTAGCTGCTTCATCGATTTAAAATCCTTTGATGAAATTCCACATTTCCTCAACCATCCGCTATTCACGTATGAAAAAATCGTATAGAAATTTTCTATATGGATTGCGCATAGAATTTCTATAGATTTCCGTATATGGAATTCGGATATTTCTATAGGAATATTTTCCATACATAAATTTTTGGATAAATTTTTGATTTCATTCGAAAGATGTCTAAACGCTCCAGAGAAAAACGTAGAGAAATGTCGCAACTCCATATGAAATGTTTCTATACATGTGTCAGTGGTTCGCATAGGATCCTATAGAAATCGTATACAAATCATTTGTATAAAAAAATATTCGTATAGAAATATCCGAATATCATATACGAAAATTCTTTAGAAATTCTATACGCAATCCGTATAGAAAATTCCTATACGATTTTTTCATACGTGATTGGCCTGTTTACCCTATATCAAGTTAGAAAAAAAAACTGAAATAAAGCAATCATTTTTTTCATGTCAATGATTTGGGCTCATCTCATCCAGAGACGTTATTTTGGAATTTACCCGGAAATATTCACATTTCCGTGGGTTTGAATTTGCTAGAGATATCGTCTAACATGTGATGGATGGTGCTTTGGTACACCTGACGCCAAGCTCATGACTTGTCAATACACCCCAGGACTGCATAATAAAATGCCCCACCTACACGGAATGAAAAAAGGTGACAAAAACGACACCTGCGAATAAACCAATACCCCCAACCGCTTGTAAATGAGTTTTCCCAAGCCCGAAAGTTTTCCTTGATCGATCATAAATATTTTATTCATTCCACGAGTAAGTGACAAAAACGTATTTCATGGGGAGAGAAAAAATGTGATAATCTTCGCATTCAATCGATTTCAAATTTTTCGAAAAGTTTTATCCACTTCATTAGTTTTAATTTGAATGAAATAACACTTTTCACTCCTTGCGAATGCAAAATTATTATACAATAATAAATTCGTTGTCGTCAAAACGTTAATAATTATTTCATTTCACAATTTACTTGAATGGAAATATCGTGAGTTTTTCAAATATCGTGGGAACAATTTCTTGAATTCGAAATCCATTTTGTTTCAATGAGTAAAAAAAACTTATGCAATTTATTGAATTGTCTGTCCGACGTTATTTCATTTTGATTGTCATGGAGGAGGGGAGAATGGACAATCGGAAATGTCGAATTGCATCTAGTTTGATTTTCCCTCTTTCTCCACTTTCATTTGTACTTTTATTTCATTTGTCGTGTTTCTACGGGTATGTCAACTCACCTGTGGCGTACGACTATTTATTTTTCCACTTCACTCGCAATACCTTAATTAAACATCACAAACAACGAAAACTGAATGGATAAAGGACAAAACAATTTCCATAACAATTCCGACACTTTGATTTGATTTTTAATTAGAATGCGTCCGTCACTCTATTGTCTTTCCAATTACTACAGTAGTTTCCGTTAATTCACGAGTTATTGTGGGAATTTATCCATCACTTCGTAGTTAATTAGAAATTGTTAATTGACCATTTGATGCGAATGAAAAAAATTATTAGAACCTTGTGTTTTTGTTATTGGGGAAATTTTTTCTCTTCTCGGAATTTCACTGGAGGCAATGGGGATCAATTTTGAGTGATTGTGCGATTGATTGGTTATGAAAAATATAGTGTACCGATGCAGAACCGTTTGGCGCGTATAACGTTGAACGACTGACAAGTGTAGCGCGCTGTGGGCACGCAACCATTGAGGATGCTGCCACCCAGAGAGCCAAACTGGAGGTAAAACTCAAATAGTCGACGATCCGGCGCATGCACTCGATCGTTTTAATCGCGGTCACCTTAGGGATTCGGGAGGACCCACCGGGCCACTCTATTCTTTCCTCCCTTTATTCATTAAAGGGGTAACGGAAGCCGTGGCAAAAGTTTGTTTTTTCAACCCATTTTTCTCCGATTGTGTCCAATATAAATGGCTAAAATTTTCACCAATTATTGAGGGGAGACTAAGTGTTGTCCTCCATCTATTATTTGTCAGATTTTTTGCAAAAAAATGCAGAAAAATTAACGACACAGCTGATGCTAAAAAATAATAGATGGACGACAACGCTTAGACTCCCCTCAATACTTGGTGAAAATTTCAGCCACACGGAGAGAAATATTCAATCTTTTCCGTAATTCCGGAGCGAAATGCGGTTGTAGGAAATTTTACGGAACTGTCACGGAATTTTTCCGGAGCGTTCCGTAATTTTTATCTGAATCTCTTATGAAAAATTACGATAGCGACACTTAAATTTTCTGAGTCGATTCCGTAATCGGTGAGTGAAGTGAGAGTTCCGTAATTTTTACTGAACATTTTTCTCCGTGCATTTATATTAGACACAATCGGAGAAAAATGGGTTGAAAAAACAAACTTTTCGATGGCTTCCGTTACCCCTTAAGGGGAGACTACTATCCCATTTTACTAAAGATGAAAGAAACGTGAAGTTGTTTTATATCGAAATATCTCGGAACTGCCGGACCGCTAATCCTTAATTCTGATTGGTCAATATGTGACACGAAGTTATTCATAAAAAAAAACACGCGGTATTTGCAAATTGTTCAGTGACATAATTTCAAATTCTTCAGTGGTAAATTTTTTTTTTACGTCATATATATATAAAGAATTTTTCTTTTTCAATTATCTTCAATTTTTTTAAATAATAGGTCTCCATAAAAGGACAAAATTTATCAATTTCACCGATGATATATATACATGTGAAATATATATATGTATATAAAATCTGTCCTTTTATGGAGACCGATTATCTAAAAAAATGGAAGATAATTAATTGCAAAAGAAAAATTCTTTATAGATTCTTTTACTCTACTTCGCTATTCACTTCAATCATTAGTCGAATTCTCTTTGATTCATTATCAATATTTATAAGGTATTCATGAGAAAATGAAATTCAATGAATTCCATTTCTTCATTTCAACAAATGAATAGATCAGCGCGCGCATAGATCTTGTAACCCTAAAAACATCAGTTCTTCGCGTTTCATAATATTCCAGACCATTTTCAATAAAAATTGGAAAATCAAAAAATCGGTCAAATACACAGCTTGCATTCGCCAGCAAAAATAAATTAACACTCATCTTAATAACATCAATGCGTTCAATTTTTCCACCCCTTTTCATATTTTTTCCCCGTGTCATTTTCGTCATGCCATTGAATTCAACTGATGAACTTAATTAAATTGAAACGTCTCTGAGAAACGATCTCAAGTTTAATATCTTATAAATAAAACATTTAAAGTATTCGGATGAACAGAATTATTTTAACAGAGCTTTTAAAAACACTTGATAAACTGCAGTCACACTTGGAGAGCGTTGAAGTGCCCGCAAAGTGTCTCAAAAAATCAAGTGGTTATTCGCCTGACTCGTCAGACTAAACAGACGCGATAGCCCGCGGGAGTAGATACAGATTCCTTGTCTGCCGTCTTTTCGCACTTGAATTTTATCACTTTCGATTGTTCACGTGGGATCAATGTTCATTAGTTCAGGGAGAGATGGCGACACCGGGGGCTTCATCATCCGCAGGTGGTAAAATAGAAATTTCAACTTGAAAAAAATGAAACGGAATAAAAATGAAAAAAACTGGAAAAAACGATTGAAAAAACACAAAAAGAGAAATCTGAATTTAAAATATGATACTATAAATTGAGAAAAAATTAGGAATTTTCTCGGAAATATTTTCGCGAAAATGTTGTTTTCCAACATAAACATTACAAATACAATTTGTTTTCTTTAAAAATTCGGAAAACTCATAATTTTTATCAATAAAAAATCCACTCCATCAGTACTTTTTCGGACATTCTAAAATTTAAAAATTCTAAAATTTAAAAATCATGAAAAAAATGATGAACCATTTTTTTTCATTTTCATCTTCTCGACACTGACATTACCGGAACCGGAAAAACCTCCTTACTGCTTATAACGGGGGGTAAACCCCCCTGGTAAAGTGGGAGAAAGGGGGTCAAAGATCGTATCGAGACGCGTACAGATTCAGACGCTCGAGTTTAGCGGATACTTTCACCGTCCATCCTGGGGTCCTTGTGTTCGAGAGGCTTCCCACGATCTTCCCCGCAACGTCTCATCGCCAAACCGAACCAATGCACATTTGCTATCCATTTATGTGAATAAGAATGGAAATTAAATTCACTCCGACCCCCGACCAGTGAAAACATCCCATTTTCCCCTCAATTATAATTTGTTTACAATCATTATTTGGAGGTGTCTGAACTTCTACCATTAGATTATTATAGAAAAATTCCATTTCTCTCATTTCTTAAGAGAAAAAAAAATTCCCCTCAATTATTATTATTATTATTATTATTATTATTATTATCATTAGCGATGAGTATTATTAGCTTAGTTTATACTATACTATATTATTTAATTTTATCTTATTTTTTCGTCTTCAGGATTAGATTAAGTTAATTCAATTCATTCTTATTCTTGATACATATATATTTTTAGCGACTGTAAAACTGCACCTTTTATGTTCCTACCGACGAATAGCCACATCAAATATCTTTTCAAATAATGAAAGAATACCCATCAATTGAATTTCTATCCTTGTCTTTTGATAGAATGATGAATGTAATGAACGGCATTGAATAGCAAAAATCACTAATTGGAGACTAAAAATTTTTAAAAAGGGATAATCGGCTAGAAAATGCAAAAAAATTTATTCTTCTTCAATTGTGTCGGTGGAAATTTGGAATTATTTTTTTTTCTCCAAATATGGGAAGGATATGAATATTTTCACGTTTTATGATCTCATTTTAACGAGAAGAAATGAAGAAATGCAAAATAACGTGGGTGGGAAGAAATAAAAAATGTAATTTTCCAATGTCTCCGGAAAGTTTTAAAATCGATATATTTTTTCGAATTATGAATGAACACCCATTAATTCGATATCTATCCTTGTCTTTCGATAGAATAAATAGAATGAATGACAAAAATTAAGAATAGGAAATTAAAAATGTTATGCGATTGTTATTATGTAATTATTATTTCTATTATTATTGTTATTGATATAATATTTAATTTTTTTGTTTCGTAAAAAATGAATAAATGAAACTCTAACGACTGCAACGAATAATTTCTCCATTTAATTCATCTTGTCATGAAATGTTTAAACTAAAGATAGAAAATGTCAGAAAAATTTCTAACCATAAAAATCCGGGGATTACGTCTCTGATTGCTCTTAATCCATAACATGGAATCGCTGAGTCTAGCGCAAAAAAAAAACTTAGCCCCGAGTGGTTTGTATTCCAGGATCAGAGATACGTGAAGTCCTCGATGAATTTATGGACATCCTCGCCTGAGACATGAGAGAGGTATCCTCTTTTACCATTCCCCTCGCCACGAGAGATCTCGATTACAGAATGTGAAAGTCGCCGCGGTCATCTGGTCATCCTTATTATGTATAACCTGCCTACTGGATGCCTCTTCATGGTATATTCACTCTCGCCAGTTCTAATGAAAATGCATTGTGACCTGTTTTTTTTGGAATTGTCGAGGCGACGGTGAGAACCGCCTGGTGAAGACTGATTTTTTAAAATCCTTGAGTTAGTCCGATAGGTATTGATTTTAGAGAAAAAAGTCGTAAAATATATTTTCTTGGAAATTTTGTCAGCTACAAAAAAGTTTTTCTGATGTTTTTCATTTGAGTTGGTGGTTATCGAGATATTGGCGCAAAAAGAAAATCGAGTTTCGCTCAATTGAGAGCAACTTAACGTTAATGCATTATGCCATTGTCAGAATGAATATCCATTGTACACGGAAAAAAATATACACCTGAATTGAGTATAAAATATATTTGATTGAAGTATATTATTTTTGACTCGAGAATCGAATAATATACTCAAATTAAAGTAAATAAATGAATAAATAATTTATTTTTTTAATTCAATTGGGGAATGGGTATTTCAATTCGAAGATGATTGTTTTGTATCAGGCCGGGTAAAAAAAGGAACTTCTATCTAGAACAAACCACAAAAGAGACAAAAACCACGATTTTTCATTAAAAAATATGAAAATTTGAGACCGCAATGAGATAAATTGACTCGGAGTTAGTGATGCCGCGAGAGACTTTACGAGACAATATTTTGGAGAGATGGTCTCGGTCTCAATGAACATGGAAATCTTTGGTCTCGTTTCAGTCTCGAAATACGCAGTATCGACTCCTCTCTTGATGACTTCAAGTCAATTTATCTCATCTCGGTCTCAAGTTTTTCATATTTTTCATGTAAAATATCGGTTTTAGTCTCGCTTTGTCTCATCTCGATTTTCTATCTACATATAAAAAATGCGAAAAACTGGACACCAAGGGGAGATAAATTGACTCGGAGTCGATTACGAGAGAAGTCGATACTGCGTATTTCGAGACAGAGACGAGACCAAAAATTTCCGCGTTCACTGAGACCAAGACAATCCCTCCAAAGTATTGTCTCATGATGTCTCGTAAAGTCTCTCGCGGCATCACTACTCGGGGTTACGAGAGGAGTCGATACTGCGTATTTCGAGACTGAGACGAGACCAAAAATTTCCGCGTTCACTGAGACCGAGACAATCCCTCCAAAGTATTGTCTCATGATGTCTCGTCAAGTCTCTGGCGGCATCACTACTCGGAGTTACGAGAGGAGTCGATATTGCGTATTTCGAGACTCAGACGAGACCAAAAATTTCCGCGTTCACTGAGACCGAGACAATCCCGCCAAAGTAC